TCTGTCCTCTGGGATCAGCTGTGCCCACTGGAGCTGCTGAGCGTTAGGCGGATGCAGCACTTACATGATGACACTAGGGGCCACTGAGACAATCAGACAACTGTCTGTTGTTCCCTTGCCTCAGTCATCAGACTTTCTCTTTCAGGAAGTTGAGTACCCCTCATTTCCATTCCCACTCACAGCACAGTCTTGGACACTGAGACTCCTAACATAAATCCCCTTTCAGAGTGGGCAGTCATGGCGCACACATTTAATCCCAGCACTCAGGAGGCAGAGGCAGGCGGATCTCTTGAGTTTGAGGCCAGCCTAGTATAGAGAGTGAGTTCAGGGACAGTTAGGACTACACAGAGAAACATCTACCCCCCCTCCAAAAAAAAAAAATGGTCAAGTCCCCTTTAGAAATATCCACATTCAAAAATGAAAACTACAAACACTCTCAAGCTGGGTGTGGTGATAGACACTTGTCATCCCAGCACTCCTGAGGGTTAACCTCAGCTACACAGTAAATGTGAGGCCATCTTAGGTTATAAAAGGCCCGCACTCAAACAGAAAAATGCACACAACCCTAAAACCTGTACTACTGTTTCCAATGACTGTCCTTCAGTAAAATGAAGTTTTAGTGAACACACAGTGCACAGACGCAAGGGGAAGAGCACAGAGGGCGAAGACTAACTAGACCTCAGCAGCAGTGAGGGCTCAACAACCATTCGAAGCAGTGATGTCAATCCAAGCTAGACAGCTATAAATCAGGATATTAATTAATGACAAGAAAGAAGAGCCTAAAAAATATAAAAGAGAATGGGAAGGGAATTAAAATGGTACAGCAGAAGGATGGAGAGATGGCTCAACAGTTAAGAGCACTGCCTGCTCTTGCAGAGGACCCAGGACCCAGACAGTGGCTCACAACCACCTGTAACTCCAGCTCCAGGGGAGTCAACACCCACTTCTGGCCTCCATGGCCACAGACAAAACATATTCATACATATGATATAAAATAAATCTTAGGTGAAGAGGTATGGCAGCAGAGCATAATGTAAAACAAACAAACAAAAACCAACAACCAGAAGAGGAGAACCAGAAAAACAGAAGGTATACGACACAAAATGGTGAAAATGGTCAAAACCGTAGATAGGAGAAATGGAAGGAAAAGGCCAGGATCCACCTGAGATCATGCTACCGTGGACACACTCTCTAAAACAAGCGAAAACACTATGTACAGAGTAGTGAGCAGTTTTTATTTGTGTTTTTCATTATTATTATTATTATTATTATTTTATTGGTTTCTTGAGACAGCATCAAGTAGCCAGGGTGGTTTTGAACACTCAATGACGCTAAGGCTAGCCTTGAACTCCTGATCGTCCAGCTTCAGTTTCCCAAGAGTTGAGATTAGGAATGGGTATCACAAGAAGGTTGTAATAATATCACATACAATGAACCTTTAAAATAAAAGTTATTATTTCAGATAGTAGGTGTGTATGTGTGTAGGCTAAAAAATATATGAAATAAACTAGATGTGTTAGCTACTTATAATCTCAGAATGCTGAATGCTGAGAGGCAGGAGGACTGTCACAAGTTCAAGGTCTGCCTGGGCTACACAGTAAATTCCAGGCCAAGCAAAGCTGCTGCTCTGACCCATTTAAGGGCTTCCAATAACCCAGGTAAGTAGAATCATATGGTTTGTCTTAGTCCACTTAACATATTCTCATGGTTTTTTCAAAAATATTTTATGGGCTGGAGAAATGGCTCAGCAGTTAAGCACACTGACTGCTCTTCTATAGGACCTTGGTTCAAATCCCAGCACCCACAAGCAACTGTCTATAATTCCAGTGCCAGGGCATTTGATATCCTCACACAGACATACATTCAGGCAAAACACTAATTTATATAAAATAAAAATAAATAAAAATTGTTTTAAAAAATGTGTTTTTAATCATGTGTATGAGTAGGAATGTACACTTAAGGGCAAGTGCCCGAATAGGCCAGAAGTGTGAGGCTTGCCTAGAGCTGGGGTGGTTATCAACTGTCTGATATGGGGGCTAGGAGCCAAACTCCGGCCCTTGGGAGCAGCCCCAACTCTTGAGGCCAGGCTGATCTCAAACTCACAGAAATCTGCCTGCCTCTGCCTCCCAAGTGCTGAGATTAAAGGTGTGCGCTATTGTGGCCAGGTCTTTTTCTCTCTCTGATTCATAGGAAAGGCAGTGGTGTAGACAGGGATAGCAGAGCAGAGCAGAGCCAAGGATGAACCAGCTTTCTAACATCCACACTGCACTTCTCTTCATGAAGCTTCCAGCCCCCAGCCAGTCTCCAATTCCACCAAAGCCCTTCCACGCATGCTGTCAGGAGCAGGACAGTAAGAAAAACCAGCTCAGACACATCCCCATGCACCCACTCTCAGACCTCTTGATGGTCCCAGCCCAGCATGGATCACCACAATACCAAGGTAAATAAGAGAAGTCCGTGCAAGTCCAGTATGAGCAGGTCCCGTCATGAAGAATGTGCGGGAGTACAGGGGGTGGAGATAGTGGCTATCTCTCCAGTTTTATCCACACTGACAGGATTCCTTTATAAGGCAGAAAAATATTTCATTGTGTGTATATACCACTTTTGTGTGTGTGTGTGTGTGTGTGTGTGTGTGTGTGTGTGTGTGAAGTGTCACTTTGTAGCCAGGCTAGCCTCACCCTTCTGGTGACCTCAAGTGTCAATGCTGAGATTAGATGTGACAGCCCTTGCACTTTGCTTGTCCCTGCAGTCATCGATGGACACGTGTTTGCTTCCACCTCACGATGGTTCACATCATATGGTAGTTCTAGTCCCACTAACCCGTGGAAGCTCCTTGCTGCTCTCAACAATGACTGCACCATTTTCCTGTCTTATCAGAGATACGTGATAGTTCTGGTTTCCTCACAGCTTTGTCAACACTTAGGATTTTGCTTTTGTTTTAAATAGTGTCATCCTGATGAAGAACATTTTATGATGATGAATGGGTCAGCCAGCAAGAAGACATGACAATGATAAACTCATATATGCATAATGCTCAAAGCCCTGAACATAGGAAGCCAGATAGACAGAACTGAGGGAGAAACAGAAACAGCCGGAAACATCAATAGCTGACTCACTCTAGAAAGCGGGATAACAGCTAGAATAGGCACACAGGAGTGCAGCAAGGAGGCACAGTTATACCAATGGTCAGCCAGAAGCAAGTGTCATCAAGAGAGCCCTTGGCCCAGGGACAGGAGAGTACAGTCTTCTACAGTGCAAATGGTGTACTCTAGATAATAAACCACTGCTCAGGCCACAGCACAAGTCTCAGTACATTTAAAAGGCCTGAAATCAAAGCAACATGCATTTCCAATCAGAAAATAACAGGGGGAAAATGACAATCTATAGATCTTTTTGTTTATTTTTGAGACAGGCTCTTGCTACATACAAGCTGGCCTTAAACGTTGACCTTCCGGCTTCAGTCTCCTGAAGGCTAGAACTACCCGAATGTACCAGCATGACTGGCTGTAAATCTTCCTGATCTTGGATTAGGGAATAAGAGTCTTGTACATGATACTAAAATACGAGCAAAGAAGAGCTATTAGGACCTCAACAAAGTTAACAACCTTTGCTTTAGAGGAATCCACAAAGCCCTGACAAGAGTGTGGACAGGCACACTGCAGCTTCATCTACTGGAGAAACATTGTTTATCTAAAGCGTGTAAAGCCACTCCGATGCAATAAAATTAGCAAATATGACATTTCTTCTAAAGATACAGGCAAACTGTGAGTGAGTTCACATAGAACCATGCAACCTCATCAGCCACAGGGAAGGATAACGCAGAACCATGATGGGGTGTCACTCCACACTGAGCAAGATGCTGTAAGCACAAAGACACACTGACCATCAGTCCTGTGATGTGGGGAATCTGGAACCGACACTTCACTGATGGCCACAAGAAAAACGTGATGCACCTTTAGAGATCACTTTGGCTATCTCCAAAGATGAACAGCACACAGCTGCTATAACCTTCAATCTCCCTCGTGGGTGTCACCCAAGGAACCCAAACCCCATCTATCCACAACAAAGACTTGTACTAAAACCACAGCAGCACTGCTCACAGCTCCTGAGTCATGGCGAGCTCACATAGTCAGACTACTCCCCACTAGAATCAGTTACTGGGCTGGAGCGATGACTCAGCAGCTCTACTTGCTGCTCTTGCAAACGATCTAACTGGGTTCTATTCCTAGCACCCACATCACAGCTCACAGCCACCTGTAGCTCCAGGTCCAAGGGTTCCAATGCCTTTTTCTGGCCACAGCAGGCACCAGGCACCCACATGGTTCATAGGCATATACACTGGCAAAACAATCATATGTATAAAATAAATAAATCTTAAGGGAGAGGGATGTGCTACTGATACATGCTACAAAGACAGATACGAAGGTCTACCTTAACTACACAAGACCTCCAGAAAGGGCAAGTCTGCAGAGAAAGCTGGCTATGGTTGCCTAAGGCTGACCACTAGTACAGATGGGTTTCTTTCTAGGGTGGCAGTTATACATCTGTGTGACTACACTAAAACTCAGTTATAGACCTTAAATTCTATATATTACAGTGAAACTAAGCTTAACTAGTCAACCTTCCCTGTAAGTTTTCCTAGTATCAGACAAGTTAGTTCCTATTTTTCCTTCTGGAGAAATATTAACAGAACAATTGGGAACCTGAGGACTTGCTTGAGGCTCCGCAAACTTCTAAGGAAAAAGAGTGAAAAATAAGCCAAACAGAATTCCCATCAACACTGTGTGCTGGGAAAGAGGCCAGCGTATGTGCTGAAGATGATGTCAGACTAGGAAGGCTTGGAGCTCCCTGCTCTAGTGTGTCTCACACTTAGCCTACACTGCCGCCTCCTAGGCTATGTGTGAACATGGCGGCTATTCAGGGGCACACGAGAGTACTTGAGGAAAGCGGTCTCACAGAGCTCCCTTTCACAGGCTCCTCTGCTCAGCACTGTCTTTTACCATGCACTGGTGAATCTTCATCAGCAAACAGGTTGGGTTCTAGTTCTTTCAAGGAGCTTCTGCCTTCAAGTCGGGCAAGGAGCTTAACAAAAGAGAGAGAGGGGAAAATTTACTTAAATGGATACAACATTCCAGAAATTAGTTACTTAAATTTCAAAAATCTTTAAGACTATAATTTTGAAGATTTAGAGGAAAATATTAAAAAGGAAATCCATCTTTAGGAGAAATATTATGTTCATATTTAAAAGACTGTATTATTTATGTGTGTGTATGTCATGTGCACAGAGGCACCCGAGGCCGACAGAGGGTGTTGGATCTGCTGGCTCTGGAGTTAACAGTGGTGTGAGCACCCGTGTGGGTGCTGGAAGCCTGGTGGGTGCTCTGCAGGAGCAGCACACACTGACTGCTGAGCCAGCTCTCCAGACCCTGCTTTAAAAAAAAAAAAAGGAAAAAAAAAGACAAGTCTTCTGCTGTTACACAGAGACATCCTGTCTTGAAAAACAAACAAACAACAACAATAAAGACTGGGTCTTCCTATGTAGCCTTGGCTGGCCTGGGGCTCACTATATACATCAGGCTAGCCTCAAAAAACTCACAGAAACCCACCTGCCCTCTGCCTCCTAGGTACTGGTTGGTATTAAAGGCACATGCCACCATGCCCATCCCTGTTCATTTACTTTCAAACTATTTAACTTTTTATTTATATATCAGAGCTACTGATGTGAAATGAGTCTGAACCTTCGAAGTAATGCATAGCGCACTGTAGGGTATGCAGATAAATTTCTAATGGCAAACTACTGTTGGTGCATGTTTTTTTTTGTTTTTTTTTGTTTTTTTTGTTTTTTTTGTTTTTTTGAGACAGGGTTTCTCTGTGTAGCCCTGGCTGTCCTGGAACTCACTCTGTAGACCAGGCTGGCCTCGAACTCAGAAATCCACCTGCCTCTGCCTCCCAAGTGCTGGGATTAAAGATATGCGCCACCACTGCCCGGTGGTGCATTATTTTACAATAATATTTTTTGTACCTACGCCAGTTATGCAGTGGTCTGATTTAATCTGTCCCATTTTTTTTAGCTGAAAAAAGGTCCCAGGGAAAAGTCAAGAAAAGACTCCCTAGGGAGCTGCAGACCTAGTTATATTTGTTTGCTTGTTTTTGTTTTGTTTTAAAAGTGTATACACATGACTATTTTCTTCTTTTTTTTCTTTAAAGATTTATTTATTTATTTTATGAGTACACTGTAGCTGTCTTCAGACACACCAGAAGAGGGCATCCAATCTCATTACAAATGGTTGTGAGCCACCATGTGTTTGCTGGGATTTGAACTCAGGACCTCTTGAAGAGCAGTCAGTGCTCTTAACCGCTGAGCCATCTCTCCAGCCCCCCTAGTTGTATTTTTAAAGTAGGAGTCCAAGTACACCAGCCACAGGCAGGTGCAGCCACAGGCAGGTGCAGCCACAGGCATAGGAGATGGGTGCAGCCAGACACACAGAGAGCACAGTGTGCAGGCAAAGCATAAGCTGACCTGCAAGAGCCTGATCCATGGAACAGGCAGGAGACCTGGTTGGATTCACAACCACTAAGGACACACACCTCGGGTGTGCCTCAGAGTGTTCCACAGAGGTTTAACTGAAGAGGAAAGAGCCTCCATCAATGTGCGAGGTGACAAGACTGGGGCTAGGGTACCAGACTGAACAGGAAGGAGAGCAAGCTGAGCTACAGGGTCCTAGTTTCCTGTCTGTGGCTATGATAAAACACTCCGACCAAAAGCAACTTAGAGGAGGAGAGGGTTTAATTGGCTTACACATCCAGGCCACAGTTCACCACTGACAGAAATCAGGGCTGGAAAGCGGACGCCATGGAGGAACACTGTTTGTTGGCTTGCTCTCTGCCTTATACCCTACAGGATCAATTAATCCTTCACAGATACACCCCTGGGTCAGTCTGATTTAGGCAATTCCTCAATTCAAGCTTTCCTCTCAGATGATTCTAGGCTGTCACATGACTATTAAAGTTCACTAAGGAAAGTTCCTTGAATCTTTCCTGACCGAGGATGCAGTGTGACCAACCATATCAAACTCTTGCTGTCACGAGTAAACTCTTTCCCTTTGCCTTTGTCAGGTATCTAGTCACAGCCATGAGAAAAGTAATACAGAAAACAAGGAGCAGGGCCGCTGTGGTAAACCTGACCCGAGCTTCTCAGGCCTCTGGAACTGGTTAGCAGGATGAATGTGGAGGAGCTTAGACTATGGGCAGAGAAGCTCTAGAAAGCTGCATGCAGAGCTAATGGGTCATCCTGGTGGGAGTTGGGAAGGCAAGAATGCAGAGAGAAATGGAGACAGTGAAGGCCCAATTCCTATTGGCCGTTCAGGCTTTAGTCTAGCAAAGAATCTGGCTGTGTTCTGAACTTGGGTAAGGCTGAATTTAAAAGTAATGAATTTATCTGTTTGGTGGCAGAAATCTCAAGACAGGACTACATGAGGCCATGCCCTGGCTACAGGTATACAACTGCAAGAGTGGGAGGGTCATGGAGTTTGATGCCGTAGCTCCAGAAAGCTGCTGAGACCAGTAACGTGTGGCAGGTTAGGAGGTCAGTATGTGAAGCTATGATGATGGAGCCCCAGCCTCAACAGAGACCTCAGAAGATGCCAGGACCATCAGACATCCTGTGGGGAAATCGGTAGCACCGAGTACCTCAAGAGAGAAGCTATGTGTGCTGCAAGCCAGAGCTAAAATGGAGGGGATTCCCCACATCCTCTGGAGCTGTAGGGACACAACAGCCAGCCCTAACCTGATGGCACTCTGCTTTTGCCTGACCAGAAATGATTCCACTCATTTGAGTGCTCAGACCTGAGTAATGACTCACACAGATTCCTTGTGATGAGTAAAGAGACTTCCTACGGAGCCAGGCATCCCTTAAGGTCCTGAGCTTTTCCTGTGGAACGTGTGGAATATCCTAGTGGCCTGCAGGTGAGCTAAGAATAGGATAATGGCTGGGGATGGTACTGTGCATCTTTAATCCCAGCACTTAGGAGGCAGAGGCAGGAGGATCTCTGAGTTGGAGGCCAGCCTGGTCTACAGATCCAGGTCTAGGATAGCCAGGGCTACACAGAGAAACCCTGTCTCAAGAGGGAAAAAAAGAACAGCTGCCTTTGCTCCTGTAAAACTTGCTTTTTGCCATGGGGAAGGGATGAAACAGTCTTTTTATTACTATATTGCAGGAAAGAATGAAATAACTAAGGGAAGTAAAACAGCTGCCCAGCTGTGGATTTCATGGACAGCTGTAATGTACACCTTTCTGATGTCTACTTTAAAATCAACCTCAACTCCCTTCTGCACGGCATGCTGTTTGGCTCTAAAACTGTAGTCCTGCTAGCAGTAAGAACAAATTAATTTAATGTAAATTTGAATCAAGCCTGTCTTTGGTTTCTCCCAGAGGATGTGAGACCACACCAGAGCCCCATTCCACCATGAGTGCCAGGTGCTAGCTACAGGGTTTAACATTTGTGCGGCTGGGTTTTGGTCTTGCTTTGGTTTGATCATTCCGTGTGTTTACAGAGCACAGGACAGTGTATTACAGGCTTCCACACCGTTTCTAGCATCAGCACAAACAGGGCTCCCATTGCAGTAGGGTCACAGGCCCAGATGCAGCTGGGCTCGTGGGCATACCAGGGACATCTGCCTTAGCATTCGGTAGCAACATGGGCCATGGATATTAACACAGACCCAGCTGCAGTAAAACCACAGACCCAGTCATAGCCGTCTGCGGCATCATGGACCCAACATCACCATGGCCTTGGGTGGAGTGCAGGCCACTCAGCTCAGTATTACCCACATCGATAGCATGGCACACAAACATCAACATGGCTTCAGGCTACAGCACAGAGCACAGACATCTGAGTGGCCTTCAGTGGTAGCACGAGACATGAACATCAACACAGATCCAGCCACAGTAAGAACACAACCCAGGCATGGCCCTCAGCAGCAGCACATGCCTGGACATCACCATGGTAGCAGTGCAGGCCACTGACATCGGTATGGCTCTTGGCAGCCAGCCAGCATATCTTAATTGGCAAGCTCCAGGTCTCAGTGACAGACCATGTCTCAAAAAACTGTGGACAGCTCCTGAGGAACAAGACCCAAAGCCAACCTCTTGTATCGACATAATAATCATGAAAAGAAAGGGAGGGAAGGAAGGCTTTAACTGTCCGCTCTGAGGCTCACTGCCTCAGTCGACTAACCTAGGCCTTAAACTTCTAGTCTCCATACATCTAAAATGTTTTCAGCTTCTGAGACTTACTGCAGAGTAATCGCACTGTTTCTTTTTTCTTTCTGATCTCCGGCTGGCTGATTCAACTCAGCTGTTCTGGCTCAAATTCCTCTCTAAGCTGACTGATTCAATCTGGCTTCTCTTTCTTTGCCGCTCCAGGACTGCTCTGCTTGACCTCAAACTAACTCTAGCAATCTGTTCTAATCTTCTGACTCCTCATTTTCTGGCTCCTTCTGTCTTCATCTACACCTAGCTTGCTCTCTCCACGCCCTGCCTCTGCTTGACTGTCCTTTTAAAACTGCCTTTCTCCCCTCTCCGCACTGCCCCTCGAGTAGCTTCCCTTTCTTTCCTCTCTCTTCTCATGAGAGTTGGGCATTTCCTATTCTGTCAAATCTTTCTCTGATTCATCACTTTGTCTGCCACTTAATTAGACTTTCAAACATGGGTGTGTCTTTCTACAAACTAACTTTACCATCAATGTTTGGGATTAAATGTGTGTGCTAAGGTTGAGCCACACCACAACTAGAAACAGCTTCTTTTTTCAGTAAATAACACAATCTTGGGGTTCACAGTGAGATCAAATATCCTGCAACAGAAGGCAGGCAGATGGAGTGGACAGTGGGTGAGAGTAAGAAGCAGTTGCCCTGGTGTGGATATGATCAATGTGGAAGTTTGGCTTTATCACAGATATTCCCTAAAATCAGAGGATGTGCTGGCTAATTTTTATGTCACTTTGACACAGGCTAGAATCATCTGGGTAAAGGGAGCCTCAATTAAGAAAATGTTACCACCAGACTGGTGTGGAAGCAAGCCTGTG